AGTTAACACCACTACTACTAAAGGTATTTCAGAGCATAGAAAAGGATGGAATACTCCCAAACTCATTCTATGAAGCCAGCATAACCCTGATACCAAAACCTGGTAAAACCACCACAAAAAAAGAAAATTACAGACCAATGTCCCTCATGAACATTGATGCAAAAATCCTCCACAAAATTCTAGCCAGCAGAATTCAGCAACATATAAAAAAAAATAATTCACCATGATCAGGTGGGATTTATACCACGTATGCAGGGATGGTTCAACATTAGAAAAACAATCAATGTAATCCATCACATAAATAAAACAAAAGACACGAACCACATGATCTTATCAATAGATGCAGAAAAGGCATTTGACAAAGTCCAACACCCATTCATGATAAAAACTCTCAACAAAGAGTTTTTTGGAGGAATAGAAGGGAAATTCCTCAACATAATTAAGGGCATTTATATAAAGCCAACAGCCAACATCATCCTAAATGGAGAGAGTTTGAAAGCATTCCCCTTGAGAATGGGAACTAGACAAGGATGCCCTTTATCACCACTCTTATTCAACATTGTGCTGGAGCTCCTAGCTAGAGCAATTAGACTAGAAAAAGAAATAAAGGGCATCCAAATTGGCAGGGAAGAAGTAAAAGTATCTCCATTTGCAGATGATATGATCTTATACACAGAAAATGCCAATGAATCCACAAGAGAACTACTGGACCTATTGTATGGGAAAAACATCACAAAGTTTAATAAAGCAAAAATAAACTTTTATTCGGCATATATGCAAAGGGGCAAGAGTGGGAAATGGACAACCATGCTGCCAGAGCCATGTCTGTCCAAGTTCATAGAAATACAGAAAACAGACAAAAGTGGGGAAAATGGACAAGCATGCTACCACAGCCATGTCTGCCCGAGTCCAAAGAGTATTACAGAGTCATCAGTATATATTAACATTATAAATAGGCAAAACCATTGAAAGCATCACCTTTTCACATATTGGCTAGAAACTGTGATCCTACATTTTGAATCATCTTTCTTAACAATCATTGGTACAGGTTTCAGTAACAAGAGTCGGGAGGGTCTTCACTGGTCCAACAAATTTCTATTCCCTAAATGCTAATAGAAAAAGATAAGAATAGAAAGTCTTTTGTGTTCTGTTTGATTGGCTTTATGTGAAAGTTTCCCTAAAAGATATTTTCCAAGATTATCTTAGCTATTGTCTTCATACCTCAGGGCCCAGTTGATGTGTCCTTCTGAGTCCCTGTGAGCCCAGCTACAGCTGGGTTACATTCTCTATGCTCAAGTACAGGGAATAATAACTGCAATATTATTTCCTAAATCAGACCTAATAGAAGATTTCAGCAAAGTATCAGGATACAAGATAAACATACAAAAATCAGCTGGATTCCTCTACACCAACAAAGAGAACTTCCAAGAGGAAATCACCAAATCAATACCATTTACGATAGCCCCCAAGAAGATAAAATACTTAAGAATAAATCTAACCAGAGGTGTAGAAGACCTATACAATGAAAACTACAAGACACTATTACAAGAAACCAGAGACCTGCATAAGTGGAAAAACATACCTTGCTCATGGATTGGAAGATTCAACATTGTGAAAATGTCAATTCTACCCAAAGCAATCTACAGATACAATGCAATCCTGATCCAAATTCCAACAGCATTTTTTCATGAGATGGAGAAACAAATCACCAACTTCATATGGAAAGGGAAGAGGCCCCAGTTAACTAAAGCATTACTCAAGAAGAACAAAGTGGGAGGCCTCACACTACCTGATTTTAGAACTATTATACCACCACGGTAGTCAAAACAGACTGGAACTGGTACAAAACAGATACATAGACCAATGGAACAGAATTGAGAATCCAGACATAAATTCATCCACCTATGAGCAGCCGATATTTGACAAGGGCCCAAAATCAGTTAACTGGGGAAAAGACGGTCTCTTTAACAAATGGTGCTGGCAGAACTGGATATCCATCTGCAAAAAACTGAAACAAGACCCATACCTCACACCATGCACAACAACGAACTCAAAATGGATCAAAGACTTAAATATAAAATCAGAAACGATAAAAATCATGGAAGAAAAAATAGGGACAACGTTAGGGGTGCTAATACATGGTATAAACAGAATACGAACCATAAGTAGCAATGCACAAACACCGGAAGAGAAACTAGATAACTGGGAGTTCCTAACAATCAAACACTTATGCTCATCAAAAGACTTCACCAAAAGAGTCAGAAGACTACCTACAGACTGGGAAAAAAATTTTGGCAACGACAAATTCGATCAGCATCTACTCTCTAAAATCTACAAGATACTGCAAAACCTCAACAACAAAAAGACAAATAACCCAATTAAAAAATGGGTATAGGATATGAACAGGCACTTCGCCAAAGAAGACATTCAGGCGGCTAACAGACACATGAGAAAATACTCACAATCATTAGCCATTAGATGCAAATCAAAACTACAATGAGATACCATCTCACCCCAACAAGGCTAGCATTCATCAAAAAAAACACAAAATAATAAATGCTGGAGAGGTTGTGGAGAGATTGGAACACTTATACACTGTTGGTGGGAATGTAAAATGGTACAAAGACTTTGGAAATCGATTTGGCGCTTCCTTAAAAAGCTAAAAATAGAAGTACCATATGATCCAGCAATCCCACTCCTTGGATTATATCCTAGAGAATTAAGAGTTGTCACAGGAATAGACATATGCACACCCATGTTCGTTGGTAGCAAAAAGATGGAAACAACCTAGGTGCCCCTCAATGGATGAATGGATAAACAAATTATGGTATATTCACACAATGGAATACTATGCAATGATAACAAGAATGAGTCCCTGAAACATACCATGGAGGAAACTGGAAGGCATTATGCTGAGTGAATTTAGTCAGTCCCAAAAGGACAAATGTTGTGTAAGACCACTATTATAAGGACTCAAGAGAAGGTTTAAACACAGAAGAAAACATTCTTTGATGATTATGAGGGTGGGGAGGGAGGAGAGGGGTATTCACTAACTACACAGTAGAGAAGAATTATCTTAGGTGAAGGAACGCACAGCACACACTACAGAGGAAGTCAGCACAACTGGACTCCACCAAAGCTAAGAAGTTTCCTGAATGCAACCAATCACTTTGAGCGACAGAGTAGCAGGGGTGGGGGTCTGGGACCATGCTTTCAGGGGACATCTAGGTCAACTGGTATAACAAAGTTTATTAAGAAAATGTTCTGCTTTTTCTGCCCACTCCCGCCTCCCCTCGAGGGCCCGTGCAGCTGCACCACACTCATTCTGGTCTCCTTAAGCTAGCACCGCCATCGTCTCTCCTCAGCCACCATCATGATTAACTACCGGGACCTCATCAGCCATGATGAGATGTTCTCCGACATTTACAAGATCTGGGAGATTGCAGACGGGCTGTGCCTGGAGGTGGAGGGGAAGATGGTCAGTAGGACAAAGGGTAACATTGATGACTCGCTCATTGGTGGAAACACCTCAGCTGAAGGCTCCAATGGTGAAGAAACTGAAAGCACAGTAATCACTGGTGTTGATACTGTCATCAACTATCACTTGCAGGAAATCAGCTTCACAAAAGAAGCCTACAAGTAGTACATCAAAGATTACATGAAATCTATCAAAGGGAAACTTGAGGAACAGAGACCTGGAAGAGTAAAACCTTTTATGACAGGGGCTGCAGAACAAATCAAGCACATCCTTGCTAATTTCAAAAACTACCAGTTCTTTATCGGTGAAAACATGAATCCAGATGGCATGGTTGCTCTGCTGGACTACCGTGAGGATGGTGTGACCCCATATATGATTTTCTTTAAGGATGGTTTAGAAATGGAGAAATGTTAACAGATTTGGTAATTATTTGGATCTATCATCTGTCATCCTAACTGGCTGCTGCTCTTCATCCACACAACACCAGGACTTAGACAAACGGGACTGATGTCATCTTGAGCTCTTCATTTATTTTGACCTTGATTTATTTGGAGCAGAGGCATTTTTTTTCCTAAAAGAAAAAAAAATGTAGCTTGTCTAAGAATAAAATGAATTTAAACTCACTTGAGAGAATGCTTCTGAGTTTAATATATTTAAACTTAATTCATCTCTATAGTGTTCCTGGAGAAGCTAGAGCCTGGTCGTAGAACACTACTATAAAGCGTGAAATTGTCTTCAGATAACTTCTACAGTTAAACTACTCCTGGGACTGGACTATAAAAAAAATCAAAAATCTTAATTCTGAGTTGAAGTAAAGGGAGAGACCATGCTCATAGCAGTACCAACATTGGAAGTGGATCCTTACACATTCATGAACTACAAATGGAAGTAGCTAACTCTGGAAGAGATTTCCAAAAGATTAAACAGACTAATAGGTAAAAAAAAAAAGAAAAAGAAAATGTTCTGCATCCTACTTTGGTGAGTGGCCTCTGGGGTCTTAAAAGCTAGCGATTGGCCATCTAAGATGCATCAATTGGTCCCAACCTACCTGCAGTAAAGGAGAATGAAGAACACCAAAGACACAAGGGAAGTAGTAGCCCAAGAGACAGAAAGGGCCACATAAAGTGGAGACTGCATCAGCCTGAGACCAAAAGAACTAGATGGTGCCTGGCTACCACCAATGACTGCCCTGACAGGGAACACAAAAGACAGTCCCTGATGGAGCAGAAAAGTGGGGTGCAGAACTCAAATTCCAGTAAAAAGACCAGACTTAATGGTCTGAGACTGGAGGAACCCCAGAAAGCATGGCCCACAGACTCTCTGTCAACCCAGAACTAAAACCATTCCCGAGGCCAACTCTTCAAAGATTAGACTGTACTATGGGACATAAAATGATACTCATGAAGCGTGTGCTTCTTAGCTCAAGTAGATACATGAGACTAAATCGGCAGCTCCTATCCGGAAGTGAGATGAGAAGGCAGAGAGGGTCAGGAGCTGGTTGAATGGACATGAGAAATCTGGGGTGGAAAAGGAGGAGTGTGCTGTCACAGTATAAGAAGAGCAATTAGGGTCACATAACATATATGAATAAATTTGCGCATGAGACATTAACTTGAATTGTAAACTTTCACTTAAAGTACAATAAAATAAAATAAAAATAAAAAATGTATATAAAAGTTTCAGTTTCCATGCTTTTTCCTTCCCTTCCAAAGTTCCATACTTTAATGAGTCTGGAGTTACTGGAACAAATCCTACTTCTGATGCTAATGGTAAAAGTGCCACGTTGGCAACAGACCTTGTTTAACTTCACAACATGGAGGAGAGAGAATCAAGATCATCAGCCTAGCCCAAGGCTGATTCCCATGAGGTGGAGGTCAGACATGCCTCCTCTCTCCATTGTCTTTACCAATTCTGACACCAACTGTCCCTCCGAGAGCACTCTCTACTTCTCTGCTGGGTTCGATAATTCATTGAGATAGCCACACAGAACTCACAGACAATACTCACGATTATGAGGTTTATTAGGGAAATAATAGGTTACAATTCAGGTTGAGGTATGCTCCGAATACACTTCTTCCATTGGGATAGCCTCTTCCCAGCCATGCTGGCAGGCACGCCTCTCCCTGGCCCTCTGCCTCTGCCCAAAGGCACTCACCTTTCTCGAGCACTGTGCTGGGAAGCCCACTGTGCAGTTTCTCCTGCCACTGCTTCTCTGCCACCACTTCTTGCCATCTTCAGGGTTACAGCTCGCTCTGTCTCCTGGGTCCAGGAGCTTCTCAGCACGGGGATCCCAGGTCTAAAAGACATGCTCTCCACTCCTGGCGGTTCTCCCTTGGTGGTGGCGGGATCCTCTCCTTCCTGCCTCTGCTCTGGGGTGGCTCATTTCAAGCCCAGCAGGATGGCAAAACTGACCAATCCCGTCGGTGGGCCATAATTACTCTATCACATAGTCCCACCCAATCACCGGGGTGGGAGTTACAAGACCATGGCTAGAAAGGTCACAAAAGAGTTATGGCTCTCATTTCTCTGCTGCTGCTTCTCACCGTCTATGGCCGTCTCCAGTGTTACAGCACTCCACTTCTGGGACTGGCTCCCTTTAAGATGGCAAAACTGACCAATCCCCTCATTAGAGTTCTATACACCTTATATGCATGACTCCACCCCTGCAAGGGTTCGATGCACCTTATATGCATTATTAGCAAGCTGTCCAATCCCCCTAGTGGGCCACTAGTACCTTATTTGCATAGTCCCACCAAATCATTGTGCGGGAGTCACAAAGACCATGGCTAGAAGGGCCATATTAAGTAATTCACTGCACTGCACCAGCCCAGGCTCTCCCTGCATACTCTTGCCTTTGCATGCTGACTCGTTTCTCTTTTCTGACAGGCATATTCTCAGTCAGCTAGTCACAAAGACCTGTTCTGTTCAATTTCAGCAGGATTGCTCTTCGTTCTATGCAGAATGGGCAGCTAAGAACTGCAAACAGTCCAGTCTCAAATCTAATCCCTAAAAAATCTTACCTGGGTCTGTCAACCATAGTCGCATAGTCTGGTTTCTGGTAGGAAATTAGGCTGAGCTGGTATTGGTCTCAGATCACAATCCAGGAGAAAGCTCTAATTGGCATTGGCTTCCTTTCCCTCAGGGGGGAAATGTCCCTCCTCTTTCTGTCATAGCCCCCCTCTCTTCTGGGCACCACTGCTTTTCCTCTTCTGATCTCCACTGTCAAATGAACTTAGTATTTCTGGTTTTGAGATTGATTTAGCTCTAAATGACACTTTAACTCTCCTCTGCGACCAGCAGCTCTGGAGTCTCCTTCTTACCTTTCTCTAGCCATGTCAGCTGCAATATTCATCTGAGACTTTGGATTCCCAATGGTGCTGGAACTTGGGTTTCCTGTTTCTGTTAAACTGGAGAATCCCTATGTTTCTCTGCAATTCCTGATTTCCATTGGTTGAGTTGCTTCTAGTGCAGGAACCATACAGACCATGACAACCTACAGTCATTGCCAGGAAGTCTTGCTGAAATCAATGAAAACAAGTTTCATTTTCATTTTCTCAGCCCCTAAAGGGCAAATGACTTGTTTCAGGACTGATATTGAACGCAGGGCCCAGAGCTGATTATGGCCTAACATATACTGAATACAATGCAGGGCCCTGAACTAAGCACTTTATATGCACTATTTCACTGAATTCTCACCATAACTGTATGAGGCTGGACAGGTGGCTGGTTGAAGCCTTGGTGTGAACCATGCACATTATAGACACAGGGTAGTTTTTCAACAGCCTGGGGAGGGCACTGCATTGGAAGCAATCACTTGGAGACTGCCTGGATGAACCTAACATTGCTGAATAGATACTGATCTGTTTGAGAAGAAGACTATATCGGGAGGAAGGCTCACCGAGCAAGATCAATTTTGGAGCATCATGTGTAAATTTGCTCGTCTTTCTGTCCAGCTAGAGATATGTATGGTTTGATGTTGTGTCTATCTGAATGTAAACTGTTAGTCTTTCTGGCTGGATGGTCCATCTGTCAAGTCTGTCCAGCTGGAGACTGGCTTCCTGGGTGTCTTCTTGAGGGTCTGTCTGGCTGCTATCTTTCTGGCTGGAGGTCTGCATGTCTGTACAGCCAGGTGTCTGTGCATCTGTCAGAGGGTCTTGACAAGCTTGGAGTCAGTCTATCTGGGGTCCAGCTGAGTTCATCTACTTGGAGGATCTACTTGGAGGATCTGTCTCATTAGGAAGAAGTCTGTCAGTCACTCTAGAGGTGGGTCCATCTGCCTATCGGTGTGTCAGCCCATCTGTCTGTCATGCTAGCAGTCTGTCTAGATGATTCCAGATTTGTCTGATAAGCTGGCAGTCTGTTGTGTCTGTTCAGCTCAAGGGCCAGGGATCTGTCTGTTTGGGGAGTCTGTCTGGCCAGGGTCTGACTGTCCAAAGAGGGAGGTCTGACTGACTGAGGGTCTAGCATCTGAATAGTGCTGATGTACTCATATAGGGGGCCTGTCCATTTGGGGGATCATGTGTCTGATTAGTTGGGGGTCCCCATCTGTCCAGATGGCAGTCCACCCATCCATTAGGCTAGGTGTCTGAATACCCAGCTAGGAGTTCATCCATCCGACAGGATACCCACCTATCTCAGGGGCTGGGGGCCCATCTATTTGAAGGGCTAGGGATTCATCTGCCTGGCTAGCAGGGAGTCTGTCTGAAGGATCTGCCAGTCTGCTGTCTGCCCAACTAGGAGACAGCTTTGCCTGGTTCCAAAAGCTTGTCTGTGTGAGGGTCCATCTGCTGTCTGGATGTCTGTCTGTAGGAGGGGAGAGTAGGGAGCCATTTCGCTGCTCACCCAACAGGAGATGCACCAGTTTGTTTGCCAAGGTGTGGGCTCTGTGAAGTTGGTGGGGTCTGGCCACCTATCTGGCTAGTTGGGAGTCTTTCTCGTTGACAAGGGTATTTGTGTAGGCAGGGGTCTGTCTGTGTGTCTGGTGTCTGTGTGGCTAGTTGAGTCTGATTAATAAGTCCGTCAGTCTATCTGCTCACCTGGAGATGAGGGGTCTGTATAGTTGACAGTCTGCATAGCTGAGATGTCTTTGTGTTTGTCCAGCTGCAAATCTATCTATATCTATCTGCGAGTCTGTCCAGGTAGAAGTCCATCTGTCTGTACATCTAACTGGGGCAGGGGACATGTCTGTCTTTTGGGGGCACTGTCTGTCTGGTAATTTCTCTGAGGTTGGTCTGTCAAGCTATTGGTCAGTCTGTCTCTCCAGCTGGGGGTCCATCCACCTATCGGGGGACTGCTCCTCTGAAGGTCTGGGTATCTGTTTTTTCAGGTCAGAGATTTATCAGTCTGTCTGCCCACGTAGGAGTCTGTCTCTCTCTCTGGCCAGGGATCTGTCTGCCTGTCATTGGAGGGTCAGCCTACTTGGCTGTGGTTATGCATGACTTGTACCTGTTTGGGTAGCTGCAGATCCATCTGTCTTTCTCAGGGTCCATTCATCTCTCCGTGTGGACATCTGAGGGTCTGAGTACCAGAACCTCAGATACTCAGGGATGGACCAATCCATAACTGGTGATGGGAGGCAGTCTCCAGGAGACCAATCTAGCCATCTTCCCCCTCACACTGGGGAACCCAGTTGCCCAGCCCCTTGGGGTTGGGCCCATTCCTGACAGTCTTCCTTGAATCTGCTCAGTGCAGCCCCACCAATTATGCCATAATCATTGAGGCAAAGTCCCCACATTCCCCACCCTTAGAAACTTTTATTTTGATCCAGGCTCAGGATTCCCATTCCCACCATTTCGCATAAAAAAGCAATGGCAGTTGGCAGGGCAGTCCAGGCAGTAACGAAGGGCAACAGGCGGGCGTGGCCACTCCATTCACACACGGGTCCACTCAGCAGGTGGGTCCCGGGGCCCCTTCGGTCTTCCAATGCGCAGGTTGAAGCCTGGGAGAGGAAGGGCGCTGTAGGTCACAAAAACCTTGGGACACTTGGGGAAGCTGAGTTATGGAGGGTGCCATCCCCATGCTTCAATGCCCTCCTGGTTTACTCTAGTCACATCCACAAGACTCCAAGAGCGTGAGTCCGACGCTCCCAGCCCTAAATCCCAAAGTTCTGGGCTTCACTTAAAGCTGCGGAGGGTCCCTGCGACTCGAGGCTCTGTCTGACTTACCTAGTCCACTGGTCTGAACTCCATTCGCCACGTCCTCGTAGGCGCCGGGCCAGACTGGGCTTTGGATGGCACGAGCTGAGGCAGGAGACAGCCATGAGTCAGCTCAGGCCTCACCTTGGAGTCACGCGACCCCACCAAACGGCGGAGACGTAACTTTCGGAGTCCAGCACGGAGCGCTGGGAAATGGAGCTGGGGCGGAGCAAGGGGCGAGCACGGGCGGATCCCGTAAGGAGGGTAGATGCGTCGGGGGTGTGGCCAAGACGAGGACATCCGCCTTTGGGGCACAGCCAAGACGAAGTGGCGTCGCCAGAGAAACTGGGACCCACCCTTGGGACCACGATCGGGCCTGAAGAAATTTCCGAGGTGTGGCCAGGGGTTCCCGAGATGCCCACTGTGACGGGTAGTACTCCCAAGGGGCGTGACCCGGGAAGCCCGACGTCAACCTCCGGGGCGTGGCCAAACCGGACTCCGGGAAAGGGGTCCTCTTCTCCGTGAGAGGCTTTTGCGTCCCCCTAGTCCTGGGAGGATGGACAGCCTGAGAAAGCAGGCGGGGTGCTGGCCTCTTGCAGCTACCGCGCAAAGACCCAAACTCACCGTGACCGGTCAGCGCCCGCCGTGCGTCTTCCGCCCGGGTCGCGACGCCAGCCGTGTCAGCCCTGGGCCGCAGGGCGCGCGGCGTCACCTGGGTGTAGAGAGGCGCCGCTTCCACCCTACGCCCACTCGCCTCCGGCCTGGCGACCTCAGGGGCCCCGCGCTTCTGCACCACCGCGTACGTGTCAGCCATGGCGAGGGCAGGGGCCCTGGGCACCGAGATGCTCCTGTGGACGGGGAGGGCGGTAAGAGCGCGAGGGCCCCGGGCCCGGAGGAAGTGAAACCGCAGGGTGGGGGAAGTGCTCAGTGTGCAAACCACTCCTTCTCATCTGAGGCCAAGCGCAGGATAGGAGAGTTGGGCGGGAGAGGAAGGGGTATCTGGGTTAGGGGGTCTTGTTTCTGTAAGGGCTCAGCGAAAGTTAGGTGGATGAACGATAGTAAAAAGAGGCTAGTGTTGGAGGAAAGGGCCAGCCTTGAAGCTAAATGGGGCAGGGTATTGGAGGGTGGTCATTTCTGTGTAAATATTTGTTGAATAAAACAATGAGGAAATGGCATCTAAAGGGTACGAAGGGATCGCCTCAAAACGGAGGACTAATCTCAAGGGCTAGAGGCATGAAGTTTCTGGTGTGACTGGAGGGTCAACTCCACATCCGTCCGCAGCACGCCACATGGATCCTGACAAGTAGGCGGCATCAGGAAATATTTGCTGAATTAATGACTGTGGTAGCAAGGAAAGAGCTAACCTCAGAATGTAGGACTAACTCTAGAGGCAGAGGCAATGGGATCTCTGGAATAAGAGAGAGTCCTTAGAGCTCAATTCGAAGAAAGTGTCAGCAAATATTTGATGAAATGAACAGCAAGGAAAGGGTTAGCTTTGGAGCATGAGAAAGTGGAAAGGGAAGAATAGAGAGGTGGAGCTGGGTACCTGAATACTCCACCAAGTAGCCGGGGTATGGCAGGGAGTGCCTGGGAAGTCCGGAGGGAGAGGGCATCATCATAGAGTGGAGAACAATTCTGGGGAAAGACAGGAGGGGAAGAGAATGAGGCATCTGAGGAAACTGGCTGGGGTGGAGATCAGGGTGGGTACATGTGGACTACGCTTCACAGGGGACAGTTTGATAAGGGAGAGAGGAAAAGGGCAAGGGTGGATATGGCAGGGACCAGCCCCTGCTCCAAGAACGACTCCAGCATCTGGGTGCTGTGATGGTGGAAGCAGTAGACCCCTGCTCTGGGTCCTGGCCTCAGAGGGTATTGAAGGCTATTTAAGATGGACAGGAAGACAGTGGAGAAGGAACCTCTACCTCCTTGAGTTTTTCATAGTGCGGGCTGGCACTCTGGAGTGCTGAGCAGAACATCTGAGCCACCGTGTAGTACACAAACCTGTACTGCTCCTGGGTAGGGAGGAGCATCATCAAGAAGGGAAGATGAGGCAAGGAGGGGAGGAGGGATGGAAGCCTAGCTGTGTCCTTGGGAATGAGAAGCCTGTGGCTACACCTCCGTCTGTATAGCCGAAGGCCGCTGTGGCCGCTGCTTCCGCATCTCAAGGACCACATCAAAGAGGCTGAAGTTAGGTGGGATCGTCTGGGCAGAGATGAGACACACGTGTGGGACCACATGGACATGGGACATGCATCACACACACACATACATATGGCCTCACTGTACCTGGGTCAGGAGCAACTATCTCACATAATCCACAGCGCACAGGACACCTGTTCGCCCACAGCCCGCACTGACAAGCAAGAATCAGAGCAAACTCAGTCAGGACCTACTCATGACCCCTTTTAAATGGGACATTTGGGATTGGGGTGAGGGCCCTAATGGAGGGATCCTCTGTGGGACTTCTTGATTCTGAGAATCTCCAGGTTATAATTTAAAAGGAAAAAAAATTGCCTACAATCATTGAGCATTAACTGTGTGCTTATGAATAGGCAGGTAGTGCTCAATAAATGCTGATAATTTCAGTCGATACAGTGTGAGCAACTATGGCCTCAAGGTTTCTCAAAACAGGCACTCAGACTTCTATACTGGCTCCAAGCCCTGCAATTCACCCCTCATTGCCCTCTGCCTCACAAGACCCCCACAAAGCCTATTCCCTAAACCTGCAGTGAACACAGAGGGGCCCAGGCCCAGATACCTGAAGGCACTGGGCTTCCTCCACCATGGTGAGTATATGGTCAGGGTTGCTAGGAACCCCGTGGTCTGGCCAGGAGATAAACTGCAGCTGGTACACAGAACAGGACTTCTGGAACACAGGAAAAGAATTTTCAAAAAAGCATTTATTGAGCTCCTAGTACATGCCAGTTTTAAGCATCTTCCATTTAAATCCTCCAAATAACTGAGGAGGTGGGTACTATTGTTAATGTCCATTTTACAGACAAGGAAACAGGAAACAGCTCCCCCCCATGTGGAAGCCCCTTCACCTCCTCTACCCCTTTCAGTATCTCCTAGAATGTGACCTGAAGGGTCCTGAGCATAATGTCTGCATTCAGCTGCATCTCCTTTGGGTATGTGGAGCAAGTGGGAAGGTGAAGGAGAATAAAGATCACTAGGGTGCCAAAAGACACATAATTATAGAAAACAAAGCATTATTGATTACAAATGAAATTTTAAAAACACGTTTTAAAAAATGCATTTACCCAAATATTCTCTATGGCTTTCAAGAAGGAAACATTTAACAGAAGGGAGAAAGAGGAACTATTATAAAAACCCAAACAAGCCCATTTACAGTGAAGAAAAGACTTTTTTGTTCTAAAAAGTTTCATTGAATTTATCAAGCACCAAATTATATATATACCCATATATATACACACACATACACGTGGTCACTATGAGTCGGAATTGATGGCAACGGGTTTTTGGTATATATATAAACCCATTGCTATTGAGTAGAACTACCCCACAGGGTTTCCAGGGAGTGGCTTGGTGGATTGGAACTGCTGACCTTTTTGGTTAGCAGCCGAATGCTTAATCACTGCACCACTAGGGCCCCATATATATATATGTATGTGTATATGTGTATGTATATGGACATCATGCTTGGTAATGTAGAGGATCAGCGAAAAAGAGGAAGACCCTCAATGAGATAGATTGACACAGTGGCTGCAACAATGGGCTTAAGCATAAAAACGATTGTGAGGATGGCACAGGACTGGGCAGTGTTTTTGTTCTGTTGTACACAGGGTTGCTACAAGTCAGAATGAACTCGATGACACCTAACAACAACAACAACCATGATCATACCCAAAATAAAAATGATAATAATGGCTCTGTATATAATGAGTATTGACCATATTTGTAGGCTAACACCAGAGAGTTCCCTGCAGTACTCTCAGAGGAAGGTGGGAAAACTCTTCATCCTTTCATATCCAGCCCTAAAGGATTCCCACCCTGGGCGTCTTTCTTGAAATCTCCCACAGCATCCAAGATTCTGCAGAACCCCAGTTCCACCTCCCCCCAAGCTCACCAGGATGATGCAGAAGAGCCCATTCTTCAGCTGCTCCTGTTCTTGGGCCCAGTAACGCTCGCACTTTTTCTTGAAAAGGCAAGCGAGAAAGGGCAGGCAGTGACAAGGGAGAGTCTGATTCAGAGCTCCAGCGTAATAGGTCCACAGTCCCACAAGACACCCTAGGTACTGTTGATGGAAGCACAAGCAGCTGCTACTATAATGGAGGTCAGGTGGCAGAGCCTGCTCAGATTCAACATATGCAGACTCAATGGAGACTTGAGTTCTGACCGTGCAGGAGGAAGACAGTCCAGAATACTCTCCACTATATGCAACTAAAAAACTGGGCAAAATGCATGACTCACTATTTTCAGACATTGTCAACAGCAGGCATTGCAGGACAGTGATCACTCAACAAAGGGAAGCAAATGAGTCAAACCCTATGACTACTCCAGCTTACTGCCTTTAAGGTAGCCACCAGGCTGAAACACATGCAAAATCCAATGAGCCCACTTGAGTTGAGAAGCCAGACATCACAGCTCAGATAGAATTTGTAAGGCAGAGTTCTGAAAAGAGAGCTATGCACACAAAGAACTTCCCAGAATTTTGCATAGAGGTCCCCTTGAGTGTTTGGCTGAACACTAATCTGAGCATGTATATAATTGAAACCCCACGAAGCCAGGCAAGAGTAACTTCCCATGAAAGAATAACAAATAGGGAACTGTACGATGAACATTTACTAGACCTCAAAAAGGGACAGAAATCATTTACATTCCCTGCAGCCATAGTGGTGATATCTCATTGATTACATGGAGCATACAGTAGGGAACCCAGAAGGGCCACACGTTAGAAGTATAGCAAATTAGCTCTAGAATAAAGGCTACTCTAGCTATACATAAAATAGCTTAAAAACCAACATAAAAACAATCCAACATCCAAATGTACCTTAACTGTCTTCCAGAAAAAGTTAATTCTTTAACAGAAGGCAAAAAACCAATATTTGTATATGTATAATTCAAAACATCAAGCATCCTATAAAATTACTAGACATAAAAAGAAATAGGAAAAGGTCAATGAACCACAAGCAGAATAAACATAAAACCACAATGAGTCACATCATGCTCAAATTACTGAAAATCAGCAATAAAGAGAAAATCTTAAAATCATCACATTCAAAAAGACAGAAGGAAGATAAGAGTTACAAAAGATTTTTTTCCCAGAAACTGTGCAAGCCACAGGACAATATGGTGACATCCTAAAGATGGTGAAATAAAAAAAAAAAAAAAACTTTTTTAGATAAAAAAAGCTGATAAAATCCACAAGAAAACGTGCACGAGAATGGATAAAAAAACAATCCGTCTATATACTGCCTACAACAGAAACACCTTAGACTTAAAGACACAAACAAACTAAAAGGATGGAAAAAAAATATATCAAGCAAACAACAAAAAAGCAGGAATGGCAATATTAATCTCTGACAAAATAGACTTTAAAGTAAAATCCATCACAAAGGATAAGGAAGGACACTATATAATGATTAAAGGATCAGTACACCAAGAGGACATAACTAATATATATGCACCCAATGACAGGGCTCCAAAAATACATAAACTCTAACAGCATTGGAAAGAGAGATAGACAGCTCCACAATAACAGTAGGAGACTTCAACACACCACTTTCGGTGAAGGACAGAACATCCAGAAAGAAGCTTACTAAAGACATAGAAGATCTAAATGCTACAATCAACCAACTTGATCTCATGGACATATACTGAACACTCCACCTAACAGCAGCCAAGTATACTTTCTTTTTCAGTGCATATGGAACATTCTCCAGAGTAGACCACATACTAGGCCAAAAAAAGAAAAAAGGGCCGAAATCAAAACATTAACCCTACAACTTGAACAAGTAGAAAGAGAGCAGCAAAAGAAGCTCTTGGGCACCAGAAGAAAGGAAATAATAAGAATTAGAGCAGAATTAAATGAAATAGAGACTAGAAAAAAACAATTGAAAGAGTTAACAAGACCAAAAGCTGGTTCTTTGAAAAGATCAACAAAATTAATAAACCATTAGCCAAACTGACAAAAGAAAAACAGGAGAGGAAGCAAATAACCCGTATAAGAAATAAGATGGGTGATACCACAACAGACTGAACTGCAATTAAAAGAATCAGAATACTATGAAAATTGTACTCTAACAAATTTGAAAACCCAGAGGAAACAGATAAATTTCTAGAAACTCACTACCTACCTAAACTAACACAATCAGAGGCAGAACAACTAACTAAACCTATAACAAAAGAAGAGATTGAAAAGGTAATTTTAAAAACTCCCAACAAAAAAAGCCCTGCCCGGACGGTTTCACTGGAGAATTTTACCAAACTTTCAGAAAAGAGTTAACACCACTACTACTAAAGGTATTTCAGAGCATAGAAAAGGGTGGAATACTCCCAAACTCATTCTATGAAGCCAGCATAACCCTCATACCAAAACCAGGTAAAGACACCACAAAAAAAGAAAATTACAGACCAATGTCCCTCATGAACATTGATGCAAAAATCCTTCACAAAATTCTGGCCAGCAGAATTCAACAACATATCAAAAAAATAATTCACCATGATCAAGTGGGATTTATACCACGTATGCAGGGATGGTTCAACATTAGAAAAA